CTGTCAAGTCACTCTCAAACAATGACCTAAGATTTCTGGTGAGGTCACACCTCTTACCACCTCCTGGGCCTTTTGAACATAGGCCTTTGGTGGGATCCTGAAGATCTAAACTATAGCAGCTTGTCATCTTTTTTTTTTTAAACACAATTGGAGTTTTCCACTCTCCCAAACTGGACCAACTGGACTCTCTCACAGAGCATACTAATTTAGAGCTCAGATTCTCAGCCCCTTTTGGGTTTGACGCTCAGCTTCACCGTGTTCAATTAATAGAGCTCAACCTTTGGTCGGCCTCTCTTCTGCTCCCCCATCTCTCAAGTGGGCAGAACCACAGTTCTTGCTTCCTGTGATCCTAGCAGCCACCAAGTAGGATGCTGCACAATGCCCAGGATACAGTGAGGATTCAAGGACCGAGCCGCTGTTGTCACTGGCTCCTGACTGGTGGCTCAGCCTTGCCCACCCTTCATCCCACTCGAGCGTGGCTTCCCCTTGGCCTTTTCATTTCAGGAGGTGCAGACACAGAAGTGCAGGGTTGGAGAAGGTGAACCACTCTTTGGATGCTATGATTGATGTCACATGGGAAATGTTAAAAGGAGAGATCTCCAAATCATCTAGTTTTCCTTGAAAGCTCTTTTCATGCTGCCAAGCAGTGAGAAACACTAGAGATTTAAAATAAGTTCATAAATGACACCGTACGGATAGGCTGAGTCCTATTTTGGGGGATGTACATTAGGTTGTTTCATTTACTGATTTCATATTTTACAAAAATACCAGATATGAAAGTGTTACCTTGGATTTATTCATTCCGTTTCTTTTTACTCTATATAGTAGCTTCTGGATTAAAAATACAATTTGAACTACCAGTGACAATAGTAAAATTCAGTACTTAGCGTTGAAAACGTCACAGTGATAGCTCACTTTAATCTAAGTTAAGCACCCGCTCTGGGCCAGGACTGAGCACAGGTGTCATGTTTTAGATGTGAATGAGACCGAATTCTGCTCCAGTAGAGTCTCAGTTTGGCTGAGGATGAGCTAGGCTTTAACAGTTACTGTGAGCTTAAGTGACATGCCAACTTTCTACCATGTCTGTCCTTGGATGGGTCAACTTCCCTCGGCTTGAGCTCTTGTCACGAAGAGTGCTAATGACACTGTGGGCATGTGTCAGGCTCTCCCCATACTGCTTCATGAAGGAGTGAAGGTGAGGGCTGAGTTCAGGCTGGCCAGACAGGGGATCCAGGCAGATGTGAAGAACCAGGAATGATCTGTAAAGGAAACTGTGGCAAGAGATGAAGCTGAGGCCTGATACTTTTTGGGGCTTACAAGGATGTTGGCTTTATTCTAAAGACAATGGCAAGAGAATGTAGAAGATCCAGCAAGAGGCTGATAGGATTTTCAAGGCCACTTTGTCTGCTGTTAGAACTGGAAATTGGAGTGGGCAGGAGGCTACAGGCTGCTGGCGGTTTGCGGCGGCGTGCTTCCAAATGTGGCATCTTTAGTTCATGGAGTGATACTTGCATTCAGGATACACGCGAGAGAGCTGAGGCGCAGACAGCAGAGAGCATGCCCGAGGTCCTGCAGTGTAAGAGGCCAAGCGGCAACTAGAAATCTGATGCCCAACCCACACAGTTTCGTGGTGGCTCTAAATCCATGCGCTTCCTCCTTGAGAGTGGGCAACTGATTTATTTTAAGGAAGAATCTGTTTTCAATAAAAAAGTATTCCTGCCAGGCCCGTTGACACACACCTGTTACCTCAGTTCTGGGAGCCAAGGCAGATGTATCGGGCTTTCAAGGTCACCTTGAGCTTTGAAGTGAGTTTGAGGTTAACCTAGGCTACGTAAGACCCTGTCTATAAATAATTACTACCCTGTCTACAAAATGGAAGACATAAATGATTACTACTAATTCATTTTAATTAGTGTATTAAAGTCCCAGGTTTCTTTATGATACCATACATGCCCGGTTTGGGTTGATCCTTACATGCCCATCACCACACTCCTCTCTCTCCTCTCCACCTGCCTCTCTGTGCTTTTCCAGTCCAGTACTTCTCCCGCCACTTTCTCTGCATTTCTGTTCTTTACTCTACCCACCGATATCCCTCTGCTCGTGAGCTGCTTCGTCATTCCTTGGCCTCTGCTCACATATAAACCTACCTAAATAGCTGGTAGAGAGTAGGGGTAAAATTCTTATTTTCAGCTTAAGCTTGGTTTAAGCAGAGGACATGACTATAGACTACATTAAAAAAAAAAAAAAAGAAGTATTAGTTCCTAAGGTTTTGTTTGTTTGAGTTTTAATATTGGCGTAGCCTTCGTCCTTCCAGAAAATGAATTTGAAACAACTTTTAAAAACCATGTGTACAGGGGACTAGAGAGATGGCTCAGCCCTTAATGTTTTTGTAAAGGACCTTGGTTCAGTTCCCAGCCCCACGTGGCTGCTCACAGCCACTCTGACTATAGTTACCACTGCTCCAACGCCCTCCCCTGTCCTCTGCGGGCGCTTCACGAACATGAACAACAAAACACCCTTACACAGAAAGTGAAGAAATAAGATAAAATCTTTAAAAAGAAGTTTTCATTTTAAAAGAATAGGATAATTATTGCAAAGTGGACTTTTGTTGTTGTTGTTGTTTTGTTTTAATGTGTGGGCCCATGCTGTAGCTCTTAAGGTAATTGTTCTTGCTGCCTGATGATACAAGCCTGCCTTCCACAGTTCAGTTCATGGAACTCATATGGCAGTGAAAAGAGAAAATTCCACAAAGTACCACACATGCACATACATGCACACACACACACACACACACACTAATAATAATAATAGTAGTAGCAATAATAATAAAAATAATTTAAAAAGAAAAGAAACCAAGTACAGCAGTCATGTTTGAAAATTTTGTTTTTTGAATAGCCTTGACTGTCCTGGAACCTACTTTGTAGACAGGCTGACATTGAACTCACAGAGCTCTGCCTGCCTCTGTCTCCCGAGTGCTGGGATTAAAGTCATGCACCACCACACCCAGCTTTCAGAACATTCGTTGGAAGAAGCTCTAAGATTTACTCCATGCAAAAAGCAAAAAGAAAAAATTATATTATGTACACTTAATATATTTGCATATATCCACACTTATGGGTTTTATCTGGAGATTTTTGTAAGCAATCGAAATAGCAACTACTGAAGTTTTACAAAATAAATCCTGTTTAGATTTTCCAGAAATGTACAACTGAGCCTGCATATTATACTTTAAGGAATTTTGTTACTTAACTATCTATGACTACCCCCTTGGTAAGCCTTCCTTCCTTACAGTATAGCATAAAACTGAGAATCCTGTCTCTCATTACATATTAATAATTTGCTTCCAAATTATAGGGTTTCCACGTCTACTGCTGAGACATTACATTGCTAAGGGAGAACTTTTGTTAGTAGGCATGTTGAGGAACCTCAGCAAGTTCTGTGCATTTGAAGACACAGCTTATAACTGTGGTGTTGGCTTGGTTTCTATCTTGCAGGCGACATATAGTCATTTTCTCAGGGTTGGGTAAAGATTCTATGCCTGGAGAGGTCACATGTCTCAAAGCTGCAGCTCTCTAAGTTGAGGCCGTGGCCTTTTTCCCTCTTGAGGAAATTCTTGATGATAAGGATTTGACCCAGGGCTGAGGTTAGTGCTTGTGTTTTGGTAGAGGCATGGATCTCACAGAACATCAGCCATTCCAACAGAAATGTAGTTAAACATTTTTGTGTTTTGACTGGCTTTAGAGGCCAGTCAATCCAGAAGATTCCAAATTGTGTTCTATAGAGTTCTAAAGGTCCTGCAGTGTCCCCATGAAGCCACTGGCTCTCATTTTCTTGTCTCTTTACCTGGCTAAATTTTTAATGGAAGAAAGCATGAAGCAAACCAAAACCAAACAGCCGTGGCAAAATCAGCTATTTAAAACCAATTCAAATATATCTTGAACTTCAAACCAGTGAAGGGATTTGTATAAAATCAAAGATCAAGGAGTAAGGCATGGTTGCATATGCTTATAATCCCCACACGTAAGAGGCAGAGGCAGGGCATTCTGGGATATATAAAGCATGCCTCTGTCTCAAAGAAAACACACAGACCACGATATAGGGTATGGTCATGTAGGCATTGAAAGTCTAATCTTTTAGCTTCTAGTAGAGTGTGACAGTCATGATACCATGTTGAATTTAAGAAATGTGGATGCATAAGCCATTTGGATCTTCAGGTAGCTTGATCAGCTCTGTCGGTAGTTGTAAGGACTGGGAAGAGCATATCTCCAGACATGGAATAAAGGTAGGATACACTGAAAGACTTCATTTAATATGTCCGTGTGTCTTAAACGTTTTAATTTGAACTTTACATTCTTTTCGCTTGAATAGTTTGTACTGTGACTTCCAAGATTAACCTAAAACCTGAATTAATGCTTTTCACTTTTCATATCCCTCTCCCTGAAAAGAAAAACCCTCAAGAAATCTTGACTATGGTTTTAGGACAGAGTCAGTCACTCTCCAGCCAACCCTAATTAATTGCAGATGGATCGCTAATGCCTTGTTTCTGTGGTTTTCGGGGACCTATTCTGGGTTCCCTTGGTTTTGGGGATGTGCTTGGGATGCAGTCAGGCAGAGTGATGACATGTTAGCGGTGAGCAGCATAACTCTACAAACTATGTGGGAAGCCCCAATCTAGATATTTTTATCTCTATATAAGGAGGCAGGTCTTTTTGTGAGCCTCTGCAACTGTATCCTTCCTAAGAAGTATGTGTATCCTTAAGTCATGGCTGCCCTAAAGGTCAAAACACACAAAATGAAAGAAATTGGTCATGTTCCTGTCACAATTCCCATTTCTTTAAGGGTAAGATCATGAGTTACATTTCTTGGTTTCTTGAGTAACTAGAGTGATGATAGTTCATTTTCTGAAGAAAATATCTTCAGTTTCTAGGCACGTGTGAGACTTAGAATGAAATAAAAACAATGAAAACAGAACATTTCTAACATTTTCTTCAACCCTTGAGGGTTTGCCTCAAAGGACACTTCAAGAACTGAACAGAGGAATCCCAAACCCAAGTGAGCTGCCTGAATCTGCCCACGTTCTCTTCTTCTGCCTTCCATATAAAGAACCGGGACCCATCGAATTGGTGACCTTTGGTGAGTGCATCTCCCAGAATCCCTTTCTATCCTACTTAAGGAAGAACATAATTTCCCTTCCTATTAAACAGGACATCTGTTAGATGATGCTTGCCTGGTGTGTTTACATGGTAAATTGATGGTATATTACACGTGATGGTGATTCACTCTGAGCCCGCACTACAAATCCTTATTTGTCTGTACATACCACATCTTTGTGGCTGGGGAGGACACATCTTCTCCTGTGTGCCTGTGGGAAGAGACTAGGGTAACTTGGGCTGCTCATGATCTATGTCTGACTTCTCAGGGGGCCATTAGTATCTCTTTTCCTTCCTTCCTTCCTTCCTTCCTTCCTTCCTTCCTTCCTTCCTTCCTTCCTTCCTTCCTTCCTTCTTCTCTTGCTTTGCAGTTTTTATTTGTTATGTTTTTTGAGATAGAGTCTCTTGTAGTCCAAGGTAGCTTTGAACTCTTGATTTTCCTGCCTCCATCCAGCAAGATTACAGGTAGGCCCCACCACAACCTGCAGTCATCAGCATTTTGACATCTTTCAATGCATGGTATTCAAGGAAGCATCTCTGTACAAGACAGACAGAAGACTCAGCGTGATGGAATTTGTGATTTGGGAGCCATCCTCATACTCTCCGTAAACCAGCCTTCTTGCCTGTTATGTAAAAATAGGTACCACTTCGGACTTTCTATTTCATGACCCCTTGTCCTTTCTTTTGTAACCAACTTCCTTCACAAAGCATGTCTGCAAGGTTCATAGAAGGCTCATTTCTTTGAAAGACTGAATAATATTCTGTGGTAAAGCATAGACTTGGTTTTGTTAAGCATTTACTCTTCCAAAGCAGACATCTGGGTTGTTCTTGGCTGCTGTGAATGAAACTCCCACGAACACCTGGGTCCTGCTTTTATCTTAAGATTTACATCTAGCAATGGTATTGGGAAATCAAAGTATTTATAGGTTTTCTTCTTTTGTTTTTTCTTGAAGCATCAACCTATTGTCTTCTACTATTTTTTCACATCGTCACAAACACTGGACAAAGAGGTCTAGTTTGTCCAATGGGAGTTAGTTTTGATGATTGACATTATAATGAGACTTTGACATTATAATTGACATTGTATCATACTGGATTTGATTTTTCTCATTCCTAACGATTAATGATGATCAATGTATTTTCGGGTACCCGTTGTCTGTTGGAGAAATGCGTGTTCAAGATCCCACTTGATTAACAAATCAAATTGCTTGCTAGCTTTGCAGCTGAATTTGCAATTCTTTATGGATTCTGGGCATTAGTTCTTCACCAGAATCTGATTTCCAAATGCTTTCCCCTGCACCGTGGGATACCTTTGATCTCTGTTGATAGTGTTATTAGAGTAACAAGATTTTCATGTTTTTCTTTTGCAGTACTGAGGATGGAAGCCAGGGCCTTGTGTATGTTAGGCAAGTGCGGTGCCGCTGAGTTCTATCCCAACCATGTTTTAAATTTTATATTTTATTTATTTATCTAGGTTCTATGTATCTTGTAGCTCAGGCTGGCCTTGACACCTGATCCTTCTGCTTCAGGCTCCAGAGTGCTGGGACTACAGGAGTGTACCACATGTCTGGCTTAATTTTTTAATTTTGATAAAGTCTAGTTTACCTATTTCTTTTGATAGCTATGATTTTGTGTCAAATCCAATGCCATGAAACTTTCCTTATGTTTTCTTTTTCAGTTTGGAGGCTTAGATTTAGACCTTTGATCTACATTGAGTTAGTTTCTGCACATAGTTTACAGCTGGGACCAGGATTATTTGTAAAGAAGTACTTTTTAATCCTGCCATGTCAGCCAGAAGCTACTAAGATGCCATAAATGTTCACACTCAACATTCTTCTGTATTGTTATTATTATTATTTTTTTGGTAGGTTTCAGTTGATAGATGAGATAGATAGATAGATAGATAGATAGATAGATAGATAGATAGATAGATAGATAGATGAGAGAACGAGTTTGGGGAAACAGATAGCTCATATAACTAGCATAGAGTAGTGACATCAGTGAGCATTGATGAAATCTCCAACAAAAGAACAGCGGAAGCTGATAGTATCTTCAGCATGCTTTGTGCACATCTGTGCAGGTAGGTTATAAGGATAGTTATTTGGCAGTGGAGGGAATGAGAGAGCACGTACTCAGTGTGATTGGGAAGCAGAGAGCCATAGCTAGATGACTGCACCATTTGCTCAAAAATCAATTGTTCTTCATGCTGCAGCAGAGGAAGTGAACTGTTTCCAGAAGTTTTTCCAGCCCTGTTTTACTGTGGACAGAACCTACGTGGGCTTCCAATATAAAATGTAAAGTCTTTTCAGCGGCTTTCCTGGCAGGTTTTGAGAAGCAGGAAGAAACTCCTGGCTGTGTACTCTGCCCCTCCTAGTATCAAAGGTCTGCATGGAGCTGAGTGCTCTCGTTTGGGCTGGAGATAACAGCAGGGTTGCATTATTGCAACCCAGAGTTCCAGGATTCTCTGTCGGAACAAGATTCAGTTAGACTTTCAACATCAGAACACTTGGCATGCGAGTCAGTGTCCAAATTCCAGATCAGTTAGTGTGAAATCTGCTAACACAGTCCTCAGGACAGAGCTTACCAGGACCAACCCCTCTCCTGGTTTTCACTGGGATTGGTTTAAAAGGGATACACCGTGTTGGCCATTGTGGCTTCTCATTCTCACTTTGCCATAGATGGGGGGTTTGGAAAAAGAGGATACAACTAAGTGAATAACATTTTTCTGAATTTGGATGACACAGGATAGCCTGTGCTTTCTAAAAGTAATTTGTGAGACTAGCACAGTGTATTTCCCTTGAAAGTCTTTTCACATGTAATTAACTCAGAACACCCAGTGTGTCCATGTAAGCTTGGGACTAAATGATTAGCTCACATTGGGGTTGTTTTTTATCCGTGTGTTATCCATGTATTAACTCCAAGTGTACAAGTTGAAAGTGGAGAGTGCATGAGAAATGACATCAGTTCAACTCCAACACCCATTTCTAGAGTTTTAACATCCCTGATAGACACACATTTCTTGACATTCCCTGTATCATACTTTCTGTTTACTTCCACCCATCCACTAAGTGTCTATCTCCTGAAATTCCTTAATATTATTTTGCTTTCTAGAACTGTCAGTATAGCCAGTTGTCAATCTAAGCAACTTTTACTGCCTAGGTAAGTTGTATAGGCTGGAAAATGGTTCTCCTTGGCCCCTCTCTTCCCTTTTCTCCTCTGCTTCGTAACTTTCGTTTCCTCAGAAGTAAGCAAAGCAAGCTGTTTCTTCCCAGTAACATGCTCGTTTTGCCTTCAAAGCTTATATAGATAAGTGAACATGTCAGGTTTTCATAGCCAGGCTCTCCCCCCTTTCCTGGTCATGAACCACGTATGAGCACACTGGAGGAAATTATTTAAACAAGCACTAAGAGCAAGTAGCAATCAGACAGCCACATAGCTTGATTCCCACTTGTTACTCTGGGCACTTATTAACCAAGGCCATTACAGTTGGAAGTCAGAGATAGCAAATGGGAGTCTAAGAAAAACACATTAACGAGAAAAGGAAAGCAAGGGCGAATGAGGAAGGAAGATGATGGGGTGCCCGAGAGGGTGGCTGTCCCACGCTGCGTTCCCCCAGCTGTGCCCTGTGTATTGTTTCCTGTGTGAAAAGAGGGCCATGTGACCGACGGGAGGCTGAGGAGCTTGGGTTTGCTGTGCTCAGACACGGAGACATTTGTGAGCTTCTGAGTTACAGGGTGAGAATCTGATTAACCTGTGAGCTACTTTCAAGCAAGATTCCCCACCTTGGAAAGGTTGCTCCAATTCCCCCCCCCCCCCCCCCCCCCAGCAGGCTGCTCCCATCTTTCCACGTTGTCTTTCACTGGAACAGTCTTCCCCCCCCGCCTTTCTTTTTACAGAGGCCATAGTTGCAGTGTCCTAGAATACAATGGCAGCTTTTGAAAATAGATTTACTTTGTTGTGTATGAGTTTTATGCCTACATATGTGAATATGTCATGTATGCCTGGTGCCCGTGGAGATCATGAGGGTGTTGGGTGTCCGGAACTGGAGTAATGGATGGCTTTGAGCTACTATGTGGCTCTTGGGAACCACATCTGGGTCCTCTGCCAGAGCAGCAAGTGCTCTTAACCATGAAGCCATCTCCCCAGACCCCTTAAAAAATGTCTGTAGTTTTTTAAAGTGCATTTACTTTCTTTATTATTTTATATGTGGAAGGGTTTTTGCCTGAAGGTATTATGTACACTACATGCATGCCAAGCCCTAACAGAGGTCAGAAGAGAACATCCAGCCCTCTAGAACTGGAGTTTCAGAGTTGTGAGCAGACATGTGTGTGTGCTGGGACTTGAACCTGTGTCCCCTGAAAGAGCAATGAATAAGTGTTGAGCCATATTTCCAGCCAAAGAAAATATTTTTAACTTCAAAAATACTTCACACTCAGCTTAAACACATTTTTAATTTTTTGAGAATTTCCCACATAAGTACTGTATTGACATTATTTCTGTCCATTCAAACTCTTCCCATGTCCCCCCTCCTACTTCTTCCCAAATTCATGATCTCTTCTTTAATTGTTTTATATATGATATATATATATATATCATATATAAAACACACACACACATATATACATATATAGGCATGTATATGAGACCTGCTAAGCCATGCAGTGTGAATATGCTTAGGTCTGACCACTTGGGATTGGTTAACCTATTAGGATTATTTTGTCCCTGAAAAAAATGTGGTTCTTCCTTTCTTGGCAGCCATTGGTTGCCTACAGATCTTCTCCTGGGGTGGGACTTTGTGACATTCCCCTCACCCATGCCGGTATGTTGACCGGTGTCGTCACTGCTTGGCCTCGCTTGGGCCGTCATATTGCTGGGGTTTTATGGGTTTGATGGCTCCCCTGCTGGGTCAAGACAGCGCTGTGGAGCAGTGCGCAGCCTAGCCTGCTGGCTCTCACCGTTTTCTTCCTGCTTTCGCGGTTTCTC